TAAAAATGAAGTGCTCTTGCAGACAGACAGCTGCTCTGATTTCAGAAAGAGGACCAGCACCAGCAGGTGACATGGCTCCTCAACTCATGACTGTGGGAACTTCAAACCTGGATAAAGTGTCTCTCTGATTTGCTTCCTCCAAACTCTGGGTCCAAAAAAGACACTAATGACACAGTCTCTGGTTCAGGAGTGGCTGAGCAACAACGAAATAATAATCGGACTTTAGATGTATAAATCCCAAAGGATCACCAAAGCACTCAGTTTCTGTTTGCATCCTGGACATGTCTCATTTTCCTCCTCTTGTCTCACAGCTTGCTCTCTCTGCTGCTGCATGGCAACATCTGTATTATTGTTTGCCTCAGCTGCTTGGCAGGGTGCACAGTGTGTCTTTGAGCTGCTTTAAGGGGAAAGGGTGCATGCACTATGTACACACTGCGCTGCACTTACGGGCTGGAGGAACAGAGGAGCTCTGAGGGGAGGGAGGTAGTATTTTTACCTCCCGCGCCCCCTAGCGGATGAAACCGTCAGGGCCCGTGGCTTTCCGAGCCGTGATTGGAAAAACACGTTGTTTATTAGATGTCGACGGACAAAGCGGGTCAACGACACACAAAGGCCAGACTGCGGTTCCTGTCAGGTTTCCAGAAATTGAACACCGGGAGCGTTGGAGGGTGGCGCGCGCAGACAACCTGTCACACTGGTTCTCGGAAGTGTCTGCTAACTTACTGAGCACCGAGTCGCTACCACCGCCAATGTAATCGGATACAGGCGACTGAGAACTCGTGGAAAAGTGGGATAGACGGCGTCGAACCAGGTCCAAAACGCCCGACAACAAACCACGTTACGGTCAAAAGCAGTCTCTCGGTGCGCTTCTGCTAGCCGTCTCAGCTAGTTAGCTCCTAACCTTGATACCGACTGAGTACTATTCGCTAGCTGTTAGCAGCTAGCTCACATTCCTCTGCGGCAGACGGCGTTTTTTCTTGGCTTACCTTCCCCACTGGAGCGCCTCTGGTTCTGAGTGACGTTCCCGCTACGAGAGTCGGCTAAAGTGAACCAGCAGGGAGAGCAGCGCAGTTCTCGGATCGATCGGCTGCTGACAAGTTATTACAGGCTCATAAACAAGAGCTAATGTCAGACAGCTAACCAGCACAAACTTAAGACAGAGCAGGGCCCTCGTGTTGCAGCCGGGGGGACAAAGTGTAAACATGAAAAAAAGAAAAGAAAATGTGTTTACTACTATGTCCTGTGTAAATAAGTAAAGTTAAGTGGTAATCCCTCCCTTGCTCCCCCTCTCTCTCGCTGTGTGTCGTTCATGGCTTTCCTTTGCCCTGCTTCACTGCTCCTCCTACTCCTGTCACATGTCAGGGCACACAAACACACCACACTCAACCAGCCAAACACTGCACTCAGCTACAGTCAGGGCCCCTTCAGTGCTTCCGAATAAATCACATCATAACATCAGATAAGAAAAAACACACGAAACAATCAAGACAAACATAACTTAGTCTGTACTATAACAGCACCCTATAACAGCACCCTTTCCCTAAAAAAAATATATATATATATATATATATTTGACTGGAAATACTGGGAGCACAATAAGCCATTTATTTCGCTGACTTCTGCTTGAATTTTGCTGAGCATCATGTAAAAACCCCAGAAAAGCAGATGATTATCACTGCACAATTTTATACACCACATGCAGAATCGGTCAAATGCATACCCCTTTAAAAAATCGTGTTTGGGTTGAGTTTTTCTTTTTTTTCTTTTTAAGCCCACATTCAAAAACACTCTGAGAAATGAGAAAATGGTTGTATTGCAAAATTAAGAAAAATAACTACAGAAACAGGGACCTTTTGACTGCAATCTTTCTAAGATCCAAGAAGAGAGCATCTTTTAATGAGTGAGATGTTATCAAGATGGATTGTGATGAGGTCAACACGGCCAGGCCAGAGGCAGCACAGAGGGAGTTGGGTCCAGATGACCAGGTATGTCACCGTGATATCTGCTAAAGCGTGAGATGAGTGCACAGACCCAAACAGATGACGTCTAGGTGGTGAAGCTCCAAAAGGAAAACGCACTCGAGATGAATACTGGCAGTCTCTCTTTAGAACAGCAATCTTCTGAAGCTACAGCAAACACATTGATCGGACAATGTAAATCCTGTACTCCAAAAAATGTGGTCTTTACGTAAAAATGGTAACGATATGTGGAACAATGGGTGTCGGAATTGCTGTTTAAAGTTTGCAACATGCCAAAAAGATGTGGAAAAACACATCTGATCAGATGAGTATGTGGGTTGGATAACTAGCAGTGGATATCACCCTGAATTCACCGTGCTCACAGTGGCACACTGTGCTGGAAGTATCATGCTGTGGAGAGGCTTTTGTTTTTCTCAGTTGCTTTGGTGCCATTTTTGAATCATCCTTGACATTTGCAAAATAATAATTGCATTTCTCAAAACATTTTGTACAAACAGCAAAGCACTATGCAAAAGTCAGTCTCTTTCTCAAAAGCCTTAGTTCATCTCTGAGACATAAATATTTGAGTCAATCAACATGCCTGTGCATCAGTGTGACAAGTCCTTGTGTCATTGTGTTTGACAGTCAAATTGCTCAGTCATGTTGGACGCTCTGTTTTAAACGATTGCTAAAGTTTTGATCACAAGTATTGTAAATTGTAATTGCTGGAGATCAATGGCAAGAGAGCAGATGCGATTCACATCTACAGTTTGATAGACCGTGTCATTGTGGCATTTTACAGTACAGCACTGCAAAGCACAAAGAAGAAAAAATAAAAGTAGAAACATAGGGGACACAGATCAATCCTCAAGGAAAACTAGACATGCAATGCTGTAGATATTGCAGTTCAGTCTTCCTGTACTTTCCGTCTACATGGTGGTTGAAAACTCCTCAATGGGGTTACAAAATGAGGAACAGGGCGAGAGAAACTCCATCTACTCCGTGTTGTGGATCACAAACCATTGCCTCATGATGTCGGAGCGACGGAAACTGGCATATGCACTTGGTCTCTTCTGCCTCTTCCTCTGTTTTGTCCCCAACTCCCCCACCAAGGGGCAGCAGATGTTGGGTTGGGGGAAGGTAGGGTGTATAACAACCTGTTAGCTTAGCTAGACTCTATTGGCCTCTATTTTACCAGCAGCTATCAGTGAAGGGAAATGTTCAGCAAGATTTTCTCATGTCTTGCTAAACATATAGCATTCTTGTCTTAGAGAGATAAGGTAAATATATTGGTCTATTTAATTTGTCTCTGTACCTTTCACCACACTTAATGAGTCAGTGTACTCAGTGGCATGCTGCTTAGCATCACTGTAGGGACTCTTTTTCTGTCTCTCTTGCTCTTTTTACCATTACACAACAAAGCTGAAATATCTGTTAATGACACAAATTCAAACAAACATAAAATAGGGAGAAAAACATCCTCCTCTCTGGCCTGGATGTTTGGAAATACCGAATATTCTTCCTTGGCTCGGATGTAAGTTATAGACTTTGTTCAAATAGTCCAGTTGAAATCTTTCATTTGGACTGAATTTTAAAAGACCAAATTTTAAATCAAGTCCTTCCACATTCATTCAAATGAGCAAATCATCTTCATCTCATCTAGTCACGAGCTCGTAAAATCATTTAAAAGTCGAAGCTTTTCCGGAACAACTCATGACAGTCAGACTCCAGGGACTTGCTGAAGCCTGTTTGGCTGTAATGATGGCTGTGGGCCTTTTTTTGGAGCCTTGGAGCCTGGCACACCTTTTGCTTGGAAATGTCTTATTTATGCAAAACATTTTCAGATCTCGCCTGTCATTCTCTTCTGGGTTCAAGTCAGGGCATGCTTTAGGTTATGTGTGAACTGTGGGAATAATGAAAATGCATTGAAGACATTTTGAAATATTCGCAACACAAACAGTCTTTTTTGTTAGTTGATTGTATTAATCAGGACAAATTGTGTTGAAAATCGCTCTGATGTTTTTGCACTGGCCACGTTGTGTTCACAGTCAATTTAAGCCTGCATAACAAACCATTTAAGTAAAAATTAAGAGATGTAAAACATTTTTTTATTTATTTTTTTTTGCAACCCGAGTCACCTTGCATGTCAAGCTTAACTCTTGATTTTATGCACTACTGAAAATACATACATCAAATAGCTCAAATGATCAACAAGGACTGGTTTGGTTTTATTATCCGAGCCTGAGGCTCTCACATTGCAAGATTAAAAAATATCCTTGCCAGATTTCTGATTAATTATGTTGTTTTGTTTATTCCAGAAACCAAGTACTGGAATAATTAATATAATAGTTAAATTAAAAATGCAGTTTTACACTTCTAAAATCTTGTAAATTTAGTTATGCTGTAATAAAAATGAGGAGAGATACGAATATTTAGATTTTTTTCTTTTTTTTTGTTAGTCGTTGATTATCTTTTTAAAATTCAAAACATTTCCATCATGACTAAGAACATGAGTTCTGACGTAAATGAAGAGATAACTGCAGTGCATCCAATTTGATATGAAGCATTTACTTTTGTAACAGCAAATCCAAGTAATTAATCAAATTTCCATAAAACATTGTCAAAAATGAAATATGTTTGAATTGAACCTCTACCTAAAGGTAATTCTGGTTAAAACATAAATGTATGTTCTGTAGTTAGAGGATTTAGTCAGGCGATGTCCCCGTTCGCTCAGGACAAATGAGCAAAGGGTATCAAATTAGTCAGTGGTGACACGTTGCAAACCGACAAATGATGTAAGACCAAATTCAAAGTAAAGCAGGCTTGCAGCTCACAAGCCGAGTGGGCGTAAACCATCGATTCTGAAACCTGCATGGCATTTTGCTTTTTCCTTTGTACAAGAAAAAAAATATGTCATTGTATCTAATCTTTTATAAATGCATTACTGGAGGTACTTGATGTATGTGATGGTCACCCATCAAATTCAATGTTGCACATAAATAGGCTCTTAAAAGAGACATTTTTTTAAAAGTAGATAAGACATTGATTCACTTTTTTTTATTTACAGTCATGTTAGGTGACATTAGAAACAGGAAGTTGTCTCCCCTCCCCTCTCTTTCTAACTCTGCCTCTCTATTTCCTGTTTGTCAGGAGTGAAATGACGCCATTAACTAATACTGAAACAGATTTGTACAGATCAAAAATTCACAATCCAAAAAACAAATCAGGAAATTACATATGTAAAAATGACAGAGGGATAGCTTTCTTCATTTACGTAAGGATGAACTTCCTTTAAGTCCGGTCTGTAATCGTCATTGCTAACACATCAGCCTGGATCCTTTTTTTTTTTGTTAACTTTGAGGCCCTTTTACTTGCACCAAGGTATCTTCTCTGTTCTCATCAGGCCTCACACAAGAAGTGGTAGGAGTATTAGTTGAGCAATCTTCTGTGAAATGTCTCAAACGGTTACTGTTTTGGATTTCAGGTCAGTAAATTCATCTTGCAATACAAACAGTAGTAATGAAAATTCAGTTTTAAGTGCAGAAGTCCTGCAGCCTTTCACACTTGTCTCACTGAGCTTCCTGTTAGAAAATGCAATCAAAAGAGCAGGCTCTTATGATTCATGCTTTTAGGGGATGTCCATGTCTCCGTTGGAGGCGTGCGAGTGCCGCTTCTCCAAGTCGCACCCGCTTCTGTTGTCCACGTTCTCTTTGCTCTCCTCGCTCTGATCCTCCGATCCAGATTTCCTTCTGAGGCGCAACCCGGGGTCCCGCTGTGTCGGGATCTGGAACGACTGGAAAGAGCTGCCCAGAGACGGCCTTTTCTCTGTAAAGAATAAATGTATATATGAAAATCAGAAGGACAAACTAAAATTTGACATAGTGAACTGTATGGGCGGAAGAAGTGGTAAAGAGGAAATTAATATGTTAGACAGTAAAACAAAACAACAAAAAAACCACTATGGAGGAAGTATATTTAAAACTCAGTTGAGTCACACCTACTTTGTAGACTTCTATGTAAAAGTCAAGTAGAATTTGTGTAATTTGGTTCCAAGGAGTTTTCTGAAAATCTTTTAAAGAAGTTCAGCCATTAAAACAGGTCTTTCTAAGATTTCTTTTGGACTTTGTCTGCTTTTAACCTAATTTTCTATCATGTTTTCTTAGACGTTATTGTGCTGGTGAGTTCTTAAAACAAGAAAGTGTACAAAATAGGAGACGAAAGAAGAAGTCGTGTCATCTCGATCAGATGATAAATATCTGGTTGTCATGTCATGAAGCAACAGGACAAAAATCCAGCGCCAGCCTGACGCTGGGCCTGAAAATGTACATCAGCTGCTCGCTGATCCTCGACTTTTCGCTTTCGCTCTTTTGAGGAAAAACCTTGCTGAAGCAAAAATAGCAATTTCTGGAAATTTTACAATGGATTCAGCAAAATAAATGGGAACAAGCTGGGTCTGTGTGACAGGCTCCTACTTACAAAGAGCCTTAAGATTCAATTCAAAAATGGCTCTTTGCAAACTTGTCTGCTATGTGTCGATACAAACACAGCTTCATTCTTTGAGCTTGGCAGCCTTTTCATGCCTCAATGAGTCATAGGTCAGAGTAAAGTGGCTTAAACAAAATAACATTCCAGTCAAAATAGCCGCATACTGAACTGAAAATGAGCGAAAAAGCATCCCACTTTCAAAGAAAAGATTTGATAAATCTTCAATAGTCATGAGAAATATTTAGCCAGAGCACTTTACCTGGTACTTATGTTGTCTCTTGGATGAGAAAAAATATTTTGCTAAGTAACTTTAGTAAGACAAGCTCCACGTTTTTAAAATCTGACACTGTTGAGCCAACATTGCAGGACACTCTGTGCTGCAACTGCAGATAAAATGGCTGCAGGTCAATTCACTCCTTCCAGCGAACTTCACCAGTTCAGACCCAACTCACCCCTCCCTTCCTCCCTCCTTCCATGTTGTACCTGACAACACCTACATTTTATTTGAACCCACATACTTAAACCACTGCACACCAGCTCTTTTTGTTGAATCAGCATTTTCACCATTGATCATGAAGACAAACAGCTAAAGCCTCATGTATAATTCAATCTGTTTACTATTCTTATACAACCTTCTGTTGAATATTCATTGACTGTGGTTCTGATTTCTCCTCAAAACTAAAATAACCCTAAGCAACATCCTGCTTGTAGAGTTATAGATGTCATAAAGCCACATTTCCTTCACACAAGATTGATTTAGATTTTAGAAAACTATGAAGGCAAACTGTGAACACTAGAGGCACTTTTACCAGAACTCCTCTAAAACGCTGCATAAAATTAACCAGAAAATCTCAATAGGAACATTTAATTCAGCCTCCAACGCTCCCTAAACTAAGATCCAAGCTTACCGCCTGGTCCGATCGGCCGCATCAGTCGGTTCATCTGGACGTTCCAGTGTTTGACGTTGGTGCTCGCCTGGCGAAGTTTCCTCTGAGCAGCCTATCATGGGAAGAGAGAAACCCTCTAAATCATCTTTTAACCAACGGGAGGACAAAATATGATCTCAATTCACTTCACAAGACCAGCAGATGAAACTAATCGAGAACAACTTCAATATCATAATTTGATATCATTCCGTGCGGTACAAAAATATTTAAACTATCACACTGACTTTATTATATCATGTAATTATGATTCTGCTGTTCGATAGAGAAGCTCACAACCCACATCCTGAGCAAGCATCTATTTTTCTTCTTTAACAGGAAGAAACCAGTATGACCAGTCACAGTCAGCTACACACTAATGTAATTGATATTCTGATTAATTCATAACCATGAAATTCAGAGTAACTTTCTCTCCTGCCGTTGCCTCATGCACATTGACGATGCAACGTTAATGACTCCATTCGCTGTCGCCACATCCTGCTTTCGGGGGACAGACTCCTGCAAAGTCACTGACTCATTGGCTGCATTTCTTTAAATAGACAAAAAAAAATTTACTACCAATTGGCACAATAAACTGAACTCATTTTCATTGTATAATTAGGATAAAACTGGAATATAGGTAAATCTGAGTCTGCATATACGATTGGACAGATTTAACTATGTATTTCTACATATGCACTGCATCTGCTTGTCTTGGTAAGTACTTTGAGATGCCTGTTTTTTGTCATTTTTGCTGAAAGAGTTTACAAACACATAAAAAAAATACATAATTAAACGTTTAATCCTGAAGGTTACAATTTTGTGAGTAACAGTTCTGGTTGTTCAGACCTAAAAAAAGGTCTCTATAGTTGGTTTTCACTGCAATATCTTACACAACAAAAATATGCGTGGACATGCACAGAGTAGGCCTTTCCTGGCTGGATTTTTCCAGGACAAGACAAAATGTTTTGCAGGTTCTTTGACAACGGTTGAAGTTTTAATCCAACAGAAAATAAAGGCGTTACAAAATTAGAGCCATTTATGTAGAAAAGCATCAAAGATACCGTTTATCTGATTGTTTTTAAAATTTCAATCAAATTACTTGGATGGATGAACATTGATTATTGACCAAGACATGATTCAAGTTAATCTTATTCATAAGTAGCATCGCTTTTTGGCCTTTTTGTCAGACCCTGACAGGAATGATGCAGCTGCCTTTTACTATTGCAAATAACATTATGAAACATGTGTAATTCCAGCTAATATTAGAAATGAATCACACTCTGTTAAAGGAATCTTTATCTCTCTTTTGTTGAAGTTTAGCTCTGAGTCCTGACTCATTTTACTCAGAGAAATGAACATAGGCTGTGTGTGCACTTGTGTGTGTGTGTTTTCCACTCACTACTACGTCCTGGTCAACCCTGTGTCTGTTGGCTCGGACCTCCTCCAGCTGCCTCTGTGCCTCATCCAGGGCCCGAGACTTGACTTCCATTTCCTGCTTTAGCTCCTGTTTTTCTCTCTGCGTTTTCAGGATGTACTCCTCCTGCTCCTCCTGCAGGGCCATCAGGGCCTTCATCTTCTCCTCCTCCTCAGCCAGTAACCTGAGGATGAAAGATAAGATAAATGTGCATGGTGAACTGTGTGAATCAGAGGCTTTCAGCTGAATTAGCACCAAGTACAGACAAACAGCTGCCAACTTCCTCTGCCATGCAGGCCGACTTCCTCAGGAACATAACCCAGCACGAACCCCAGAGCTCGAAATCTACTGTGTCCACATAAAAGTGTCTCTTTGGCCCACAGCTGCATATGTTTTGTAACATCTACCTCGCCTGAGCGTAACGGAAGCCCTCCTCATCCAGCCTGGCCTTAATCTCCTGCTGCAGCGCCTCCTCCAGACGCTTCTGCATCTCCTCCAGCTCCTGGATCCTCTTCCTCTGCCGCTCTGCTTCCTCCTCCTTCAGAGCCATCTCTGCCTGCATGCTAACTCTGGCCTGTAGAGTAACGGAAAATAAGAAGAAAAAGAAGAAGAAAAAAAGTTAACCGAGTTCCTCCTCTTTACTTTTTAAACGCTCTCCTCCGTTTCCTGTCCTGCTCACCTCCTCCGCCTCGCGGAGCTGAATCTCCAGAGTCCGCTGGAGCTGCTCGTGCTGCTGGCGTCTCCTCTGCTCGTCCTGGTCCATCAGGACCTGCGCCTGCTTCTGCGCCTCCTTCAGGAGCTCCAGCTCCGCCAGCTTGCGCTCCCTTTCCTCCTGCAGGGCCCGAAGCCTCTGCAGCTCCTCCTCTTTGGCCTGTCGTCGTTTCTCCCGCTGCTCGCGCTGCTCTCGCCTCTTCAGCTTCAGGTCTTTATGCAGAGACGTTTTGCCCTCCACGTGCAGCCTGATGGCCGTTTGAATGGCTGTGAAGACGAAGAGGGTGAAGTTCAAGGTCTTTGGATTTTGCTGTGCGACTCAAAAGAACAGAAGCGTCCTCTCTGACCTGCCGTCCACTCCTGTCTTTGTTTGGTGTCCGAAGCACTCATTTCATAGGTTTTGGACAAGGTCTTCAAGCAAAACATGCACCTCTTCCCGTCTCGGTCAGGCAGCACCTGGTCAAACACAGAAATGCAGAAAATTTAAATTATTCTCGTCTCCGACGCATTTATGCCCCGTCTTGTCCTGGTCTCGGGGTTTGAGGACTCAGGATTTTATTTCAAGTTCACTCAAGCGAATATTTGGTGATACTGTCAAATCTATTTGCTGACATCCTTGCTTTTATTGGAGGTCGAATCCAATGCAATCACGTGTCTCATTGCTAAAGGTGCATTTTGTTATCGTCGTCACCCATCCCAAACCTCTTTAGCTCAAACTCCAAGAAAATGAGAAGTAGTTCTTTAAGAATTAAGCTGATGAAACATTTCTGTGTAGAAATTGGACTTGTTAGTCTTATGGACACCTTAAGATGACATTTGCTTTCTTAAACTATTTAAGCATATATATATATCCAGATGAGTCACAGTGATCTGAAGATTTTTGAAACCATCGAGTGTCCTCAAATATGAGCAGTAAAGGTAAATGATACTAACAGGTTAAATAAGTTTCAAAAATACAGTTTGCTCATTTTATGGAGATTTGCATCAGCACCGCTCCAAGGCGAACAGATGCCAGGGGATAAATAGCCTAAAAGGATTCACTTCGTTTTAGAAACCACTTTCAAGAAACATTTTATTTCTGTCTGGGAGCATTTGAGTTATTTCTCAGCTGCTGCTCTGTTTCGAAAAATTACACTTTAAAGAAAAGCACAGTATATAAAAGCGGTGAGATATCAAGTCACCATTTGTCCTCTCTGGATTACTTGATGCATTTTAGGGAAGTCCTCACCTTTAGTTTTCCTCTTTTCAGGCAAACAGGAAAAACAGCTATGTTCTCCGCTTACCTCCACGCAGCAGTTCCCGTCCAGGACTATATTCCCTTGGCAGTCCTTGCGGTCCTCTCCGGTGTAGTACGACAGGTTGCTGGGCCTCAAAGTGAACCAGCGTTCCTTCCAGTTTCTCCTCAGCTGCCCTTTCTTCCACAGATAACCCTGAATCCAAATCAATGCACACACATGACGCCACGGACATAAAGAGTGGCACAAAGGGAGCACTCTTCTGTCCGCCTACCTCTTTGAGAACGTCGCCGACTATCTCCCTGTACACCTCCTCTATCGCCATGCTGATGATGCTCTTATCGATGGCTCGGGTCATTTTCCCAGAGTTCATCATCTGGAGAAAAACCCAGACGGTGATGCCATTCTGGTGCCCCGAGTCCTGAGAGAAGAAGTCGTCGAGCTCGACGCAGTTGAACTCGATGCTCATCGCCATGCATATCTTCTTCAGGAGGTACTCCACCTGAACGAAGAGGGAGAAGATCTGCTTGAGCCGCCGGCGTTTGCAACAAAACATTTTCTTTAAAAGGAGTCTCTATGTATGTAACTTTGATTAAAGTGATATCTTGTTGAACATTTGGGATTTAAGCTCGTTCTTGCTGAAGTTTTAAGTTTTTCTTATCAAAACCATATAAAAATAAAATCACTTCTTTGCCTACATTACTACTGACATACAGTGAAATGTTTCCTGACTTGCTAACTGTACTGTGCATGTATTTATACACGCAAAAATACACAAACATATAAGGCTTCACCACACTATTTTCTTTTCCTTTTGCCAAACCTATATAGTAACGCTGTCACTCTCCCTGTAGCATTATTTTGGTACAGTGAAAAACAGAACCAAAATAAAGCTGAATGATGTTTTCTCACACCCTGAGTTAAAGCAAACACGCTGACCCTGAAATTTGGGGCTTTCTCTTGGCAGCGGGTGAAAAAAAACGCATGACAGGAAACCAAAACGGGTGTTTACGTGTGAGAAGCAAGCCCACGAAAAGTTCACCGTGTCCCCTGGTGGAAAACAGCAAAGTTTCAACCGTTGCCAACTCAGTGGCTTTCTGAAAATCCAACTTTCCAGCTCGGCAGTGGCCACAAGATGTATCCACCTTCTGGTTGAACCCACCTCATCTGGTACCATAACCAACGGGTATTTGTCTTCGGAGAGAAAGTTAAAAAGGCACCACAGCCGAAAAGCATCTCGGTCCGGCAGGACCGAGATGCTGCTTCTGTCTGGCTGGTAGTTCTTCTTCGCCGTAAGAGTCCAACAAAGCTCATCCACGTTTTCCTTATTAAAGGAGCCTTCCACGACCTGAAGCAGCAGACAGATATAGCAATCAAAACTGTGCTGAAGCCTCTTGAAACGACAGGAGAAATAAAAGCTGTGGGTTCACCTTATCGAGGATGTATTTGTTGAGATAAGGCATGTAACCCTGACTGGAAACTGGGCCGTCGTCGTCATCCCTGAAGTGCTCCTCCAAAGCCACGGGGTCATGTGGGATGCTCAGGACTGTGCAAAGGTTGTGAGACAGAACCTGAAACATCAAAGAGAAAAAAAAAACTTTCATGAAATAGAAAAAAAAAAAAAAAACAGGAGAGAAGATTTATTTCTTCAGAACTGACAAAATGGTTCAATCTTATCAATTTTCGTAAACGCAGCGTTTAAAAACAAAAATTGCAGGGTTAAAACACTCAAACAAAGATAAGATCGATCCAGATCTCTGGAGTCGAAAGAAACAAGTTCACAAGATGCTGTAACGATTAAAGAAAATACATGAATATTTACGGCATGAAAGATTTTTAGAAAATTTTTAAATAATGAATGTAGTTATATTATCTACTGTAAATATTGGTTTGAAAATAAAAAATGAAATAAAAAAAGAAAAGAAAGAAAATTTTAACTGTCCATTTTGAGAAATGGTAGTCCCAATGCAAAGTGCATCTTCTTTTAAGAGTGAACTCGTTTTTTTAACTTCAGCTACACCCTAATCTTCAAAATCACTGGCTGAAGCGGAAAAAATTAACATTTTCTGCAAACTGTTGTACAAACATCATGAGTAGCGCCTGCTGTTTCCTAATCTAAGTACTTTTGAGCAGCTTGGTGCCAAATTCCCTTTTTCAGTGCCTATTTTAAGGAAAGTTCTGATTCTGAGATTCCATGCTTGTGGGTGTAACTTTCAGGCATTTAATACCTTTTCAACTTCAACGAAAAACTATAAATGCGATATTATGCATGATGAGTATGATTTCAGCATACCAAAAGTTTTCAAAACTGTTTTTCTGTTCAGATTCTGAGACAAACACGTTGCTACTTTGAACTTCATCCACAGATCACTTGATAAACTGAGATAAAGCATGTTTTGCTATTTTTATTTTGTTGTAGGAAGTCTTTTCCCTTTAATCGATTTCTGCATCCTTTTACTAGAGGCAATGTTGTTCATGTTTCAGATTGATAACCAGGCAGGAAAGTTTTACAGATGTTTGTCTTTTTTGCACTCATCATCAGATTGCAAAACAGTAAAAAAAAAAAAAAACACACACACACAAAAAGAAACTGCAAGGAGCTGCAAAAAAAATCAAGAAAATAGTGCATGGAAAGACATTAAATTAGGCTTTTACTGCCGACTGCCTTTCCAGTGATAGAGTAAATACAGTGAGTAGAAACAGATAAATTTACCATGTCTGTTCAACATGAGCTACATTATGTTTCTCAAAGATAAATAAGACAAATGTGAAATTTTCTGCTCAGGTAAGATTGTGCCATGTGTGACTCTGCTGTGTGGTTGATTGGCAGGATAACAAACTTTTGCTTTTTCTAAAGGTATATTTTTCCCTTTATGTACTGAAAGAAATTTGATATTCCAGAAATGTTTTCTGATTAATTATGTTTGTTTCATGCATTACAGGTTATTTAATATTGAGATGCAGCAATGTAAGAGCTGTGACTTATACTTAACCCTCTGATAGCCTGTAGCAGACTACAAATGCAAAACATGCATTTATACAATGCTTGTTTTGCATTTTCAACTGCTATTATGTAAGAGAATATGCAGGAAGCTACCAACATGGTTAGTACTTCTGTACTGCTGCAATATAGTCTAGTTTTAACCCTTTGAAATCCATGGGGTTTTATTTTGAAGGCCAGGCTCTTTAAAGAGCAGTCACGTTGATAGTTTTCTGCTTCAGATTTTTTGATCATTTCTTTTTCTTTAGGTCTGTGAAATGGAAGTGGAGCTTCAACAAAGACAGATCAGACAGAGCCCCGGGTTTTAATGACTGCTGCAGAAAGTAGATCAGCATATCAGATCAGCACCTTGAGCAATTCAAGTTTCACGCATTATTTTATAAGTATTTAAACACGCCCACAAAGTCACACAATCCTCAACAAACATCAGTGTAAGATACTTTGAAAAGACAGAACCAATGAGTATTAAAACTCTATTCTGTCTGATCTCAGAGCATAAACAGCTCCGTAATCTAATTGATTAAACCGCAATTAAACACTGAGTGTTGTACTATTTGCTGTGGCTACTTATACTAAACATACAGCATCTCCACCACAGCAAAACAAAGCAAAGCAAAGCAAAAAACTGGGAAAATGTGTGACTGGCTTTTTGCCAGAGATGGTAGTTTTTGAATCCAATATCCGGTTACCCAAATCTACTTGACCTTGAACAAAGTACGTGTTGTTGCACATGTATAGACAGCAGCAGTTCTTATTTCGACGGAGTTACTGTGTCAGGAGAATTTTGATGATTTTTATGTCAATGCTTAGCTCTCCTGCTAATATTTTTGAAGTTTTCTTACAAACCTATTTCTAAATTATATACTTTTACTAACTAAAATGTTTCCTCAGTTGGGACTTCTAATGATTTTTCCAGTAATCATAAAATGCACAAAATGAGGTTGGTTAGCATTGACCTCACTTCTTTCTTTTATTGGTAATCTTTTTCCTTGAGAGCAACAGAACTTGGTTAAAATCCCGAACTAGCAGAACCTGAGAGCATTAAGAAGTCTGTTTTACTTTTAGATGAGCTTGCATTGCTCTATCTGTTCTGTCAGTAAATAAAAAACCCAGCCAATCAATAAATTTGACTGAAAATTAACTTGTCAAAAAATGGCAAATCAAAGATAAAGGATGCCATCTGGAAATAAATCAACACAGCCGGAAACTTTAACTTTCATCTCTAAAATACTGGTACATGGAATTAAATGTGGAGATTCAAATATATTTTCCATGTACCGGAACAATGCAAGATGTTTCAAGAAAATGTCAGATTAACATGTATTTGTTCGTGTTAATCTGGCTTAAAGCTTTCACAAATTTTCAGATGATACTTCTTCATGTTTTGGACAAAATATTATTCAACACCTGCAGAAGTGACATTGAGGATGAACCTCATGTAATGGCGTTTCACGCTCAACAGAGTTTGCTCTTTGATGCCCATAAGAGGGCCAAGAAAAGGGCAGTTTTGATTATATGATAATACATTTGAAAAGTTTATGAACTGACAGCAGTATTGTTGTGTGCTCTATTAATATGTTCGTTAAAACCCCTCAAATCCACCTATGCATTGTTTTGTCAGAGGTAATAAAACCCATCTTGTCATGTTACACCATGTGTGTGACACTCGATGCGGGCACTTCCCCTGGTGGTACAGCACTGGTACGTTTTCTGAGCAGTGTTTCCTGCAGCAGCGTGCAGAAAAGGGATGAACCGAGGCTGAAAACGAGATCATGGCTCTAATTTTGTTGTCTGACCGTATGAAGTTGACATGTTCAGAGGTGCAGCCTGGGCTGTTGTAGCCTCACAAAAAAGTGAAATCAACAAAAGGAGAGTGAGAGACTCTTAGCAGATTTTGCACCAAAACAAAGAGTAAAGGGAGGAAAGACTTCTAATTTGATCTGTTTATATCAGATTAATGGGGAGTTGCCACTATTACGCTTCTATTCAAGCGCAACTTTTTTCCTCTTTGTTTTATTTCTGTCGCCGAGGGAGTGCAACATCTTGAGACATCTGCTGCATGATATCAGGCACCTAGTTTCTGCGTGCAGAGCCATAACCACATCCTGTCTCCAGTCTCCAGCTCTCTACAGCATCTGTTAACTTTTGAGGCCACAGCATGCAAAGTGCTCGCCTCCACACAGAACATGGTGCCTGCTCACGAGCTGCATGATGCCGACGATGGAGGGGTGGAGGTGGGATAAGCCAAGTCATGAGGCTGACTCGCTGTAAGCCTGGAGCTCTGGGCAACATTGCAGAAACGTGGAGGTCGGCTGGAAAACAGAGCCTGAGCCACGCTAAGAAAAAGTGACATAACAATGAGATCAACAAAAAGAAAAGAGAGAGAGAGAGAGAGACAAAGAAGCACAGTGGTTTTATTGAAGCCCTACAGCGAGACGCAACAATCGCCAGCATGTTTCCACTTTGTCCTTGCCCTCACATGCAACAATGTCCTGTTTGACGTACATGCTGGGAACATACTCCATTCAACAAGGCTGCTCTCCAGTGCCAGAGGTCCCTTTGCACTACAAGATGGCACATTGAGGCCCAGCATTGATGATGACGGCTCCCATTCACACGCAGACAGAGCAAACTCGTGCTGCCCGACTGCCTGCCACACAGAGGTGCATATTGTGCCTCCTTTTCAGCACGAAGCATTTCACTGGAAATATAAGGAACAAAATTGTTCCTCGTTGCCTGCAGTTTAAAGTAAAGCTGCTTTGCACAGGAAATGTGATGGCAATCAGACAGTTTGCTCTCATTTCCTGAAGTACACAGCTGAACACACTCTGGGTAAAGAGCAATTATTTGTCAAATTTACTTGTAACTAACAAACTTTTATCTGCTGGAAGTGAATCCTCGTAGGAAATGAAGCAACATCACAATGTCTGTCCATCCTCACCTCAGACACAAAAAGATCACTTTGTTTCCTTCCCTCCTACCCCCATCTTCAAGTTAGAGGACCCTCCACTCACCTTCAGCTGAGACTTGGACACCTTCCCACTCTTCTCTAGATCCAGGGCAGTGAAACCGTACCATATGGACTTGAGTAGCTCAGAGCGCAGGTCCATTTCTGCAGCGCCGTTATTTTTCTGATTTCCTCCTCTATGCGTCTGCCTTCTTCTTCCCTCTGCTGTTGACACGGGGCCCCTGGGTGACAGGCAGACACGCACTCTGTCGCTGCTGCTGCGTGGCTTTGCAAGCCTGCGGGCAGCGACACCTGCTGGACATCCACAAATGGACACGGAGGGTTCTGTCTGGACTTGACAGGGAGGGAGAAAAAAAGGTTTTAAATAAAGACAATGTGGTTTACAACTAATTCTAGACACTGGTAGTCAATTTGATTTATTTAGCAAAGGTAAAATGTTGACAAGTAATAATTTACCAAATCCTAACCAAAGCTGATGTAGGTATATAGCTGCATGTAAAATTAAAACATGTTGTTTGTGTCTGTTTATGCTGTTCCCTATTGTTGTGTCCGCTGCTTGTATCTCATTTGATTGGGGTTTTGCGGATTTATATTTCATTATTCTATGTTGGCACAAAGATCTGTCATGCTGGATTTGAGTTTCTTTACCCACATGCAGGTTTAGACATCAGACCGGAAGGTTTTTGGTTCAAAGATTTATTTACAGTTATTATAGAATATGTTGAGCCTAAGTTGTCCTCTGGTTTCGGGAGCGGCTGGGCGGCTCAGGTACTGCTTAGAGAGGGGAGAGGTTAGTAGGAGCGGGAGTGAGAGGATCTTGACAGGGAAGTGGAGGGAAGGGCTTACAGATCATCTGATGGAGGATTGCCGAGGAGGAGGTAGGATCCGTTGGTGCAAAGGCTCCGAGAAGGTTGCGGGCTCAGGCGGCAGACGAGAGCGTTTAGTCCGGAGGGCGATCGGTGTCAGTGTTCGGGTGGGCGTGGTTACTTAGCTGGATCCAGGCAGAGCATCCAAAATCTGAGAAAAAACAATAAAGATTAACTTAGTCCTTAGACAACGTGAGGCTTGGCAAACCTTGGGATTGACTCTGACCAACAAGTGGGACCATCGAGCGATGAATGGCTGCTCCACCGCTTCTTAAGAATCCTGCAGCCGATTTCAGAAATCCGCTTCAGGTGCGTCAGCCTGCCGGAACGCTCCCACGAAGATTGTCTATTCGGAGGAGCACTCACACCAACTTGAATCCTAACATTACCCCTCCTCAATGACCGCCACCCGGCGGTCCCGAGGAACCCGAAGCTCTGGTGGCATGAAACCTCCTCAGAACCGACTTGTCCAGAATAAAAGACCTGGGAACCCAGGAGCGTTCCTCCGGGCCGTAACCTTTCCAATCCACCAGATATTGAAAACCCCTGCCCCTCCGACGTACGTCAAGGATTTTATTAATAGTATAGGCCGGACCCCCATCAATATAGCGGACGGGAGGAGGGGAGCCAACTGGAGGGCAAAGCGGGCTAGACCTCACAGGCTTCAGTAGGGAAACATGAAACACGGGATGAACCCTGAGAGAAGGTGGGAGCCTGAGTCTGACCGCAGCGGGGTTCACAATAGCCTGGATCTCAAACGGACCTAAATACTTAGGAGATAATTTCTTAGATGCAGCTTTTAGGGGAATGTCTTTGGCCGACAGCCAAACCCTCTGACCCGGCCTGTAAACAGGAGCTTGACGTCTCTTCCTGTCCGCAAAGCGGCGATTCTGGGCAGCGGTGCGATTCAATGCTGCAGTAGCATCCCTCCAAATGCGCTGGCACTTCCGAATGTGGTGTTGAGCTGACGTGACGGCATTCCGGGATTCGTCCGATGGGAGGAGAGGAGGCTGATAACCTAGTGAACATTCAAATGGGGACAAACCAGAAGCGGAAGAAACGTGGCTGTTATGTGCATACTCAACCCAGGGCAGCTGGGAGGACCATGAGGAGGGGTTGGAGGAGCACAGGCAGCGAAGTGTAGATTCCATCTCCTGATTCATGCTCCGTTTGCCATTGGTCTGAGGATGAAACCCAGAAGATAAAGATACCTTGGCCCCAAGCGCGCCACAAAAGTCTTTCCATACCTTCGAGATAAACTGGGGTCCCCTGTCAGATAGAATTTCCCTCGGAATCCCATGGAGCCTAAAAACATGCTTAATAGCAAAAGAGCAGTTTCCGCAGCAGACGGCAATTTTTTAAGGGGCACAAGGTGACACGCCTTGGAAAAACGGTCTACGATGGTAAGTATGACTGTGAACCCCTTAGAAGGGGGCAGGCCGGTGACAAAATCAAGAGCAATATGGGACCAAGGACGTCCCGGAACGGGTAAGGGCTGCAAAAGCCCACTGGGAAGTTGATGGCTGGACTTGTTCTTAGCGCAGGAGGGGCAGGCCGAAACATACTCTTTCACATCCTTATGAAGGGACGGCCACCAAAAGGAGCGCCTGATTAATGCCGCGGTCCGACTGGCGCCCGGGTGACCAGAAAAACGGGAAGCGTGAGCCCAATGGATCAGACGGGAGCGAACAGAAGAAGGAGCGTAAATTCGACCCGGAGGACCAGTACCTGGATCAGGATCCGACTGCTGAGCTTTGAGGACCTGGTCAGAGATGTCCCAGGAAACCCCCCCCATTATGCATGAGCGAGGAACTATGGTGTCCACAATAGGGTCCTCATCATCAGAGGAGAATTGTCGGGAGAGAGCATCTGGTTTCACATTCTTAGAACCTGGTCTATATGAAATGATAAAGTTGAATCTGGAAAAAAAAAGAGACCATCTTGACTGTCGCGGATTCAACCGTTTAGCCGTCTGCAGATAGGATAAATTTTTGTGATCGGTCCAAACCACAATCGGAAGCTCAGCCCCCTCCAACCAGTGGCGCCACTCTTCAAAAGCCATTTTAATCGCCAACAAACTCCCGGTCCCCCACGTCATAGTTTCTTTCTGAAGGAGAAAGTCGGCGAGAAAAAAAGGCGCACGGATGCATCTTGTGATCAGAAGGCGAGGTTTGAGATAACACCGCCCCCACCCCTGAATCGGAAGCATCCACTTCCAACGTGAATTGCCTAGTGGGGTCTGGCTGGATCAGGACCGGGGCATTAGCGAATTTCTTTTTCAGAGCCGAAAACGCTGCGTCAGCTTCCGGAGTCCATGAGAACTGGACCTTGGTGGACGTAAGACTGGTCATGGGGGCCGCAGTCTGACTGTAATTACGGACAAACCTTCGATAAAAATTAGCAAACCCCAAAAAACGTTGTAGTTGCTTGCGAGAAGATGGGGTCGGCCAATCCAAAACTGCGCGAATTCTCCCGGGATCCGGCTTCACCTGCCCACTCTCCAAAATGAACCCCAGGAACGAGATGGAAGGCACATGAAACTCGCATTTTTCCGCTTTAACATACAAACTATTTTCTAAAAGACGCTGTAGGACCAACCTTACATGCCGTTTATGTTCCGCCAGGGTCTCAGAAAAAATCAGGATGTCGTCCAGGTAAACAAACACAAATTGATCCAGAAAATCACGCAACACGTCATTGATAAGGGACTGGAAAACGGCCGGGGCATTCGTCAGACCGAAAGGCATGACCAGATATTCGAAATGGCCCAGCGGGGTTTTGAACGCCGTTTTCCATTCATCACCTTCACGGATGCGCACCAGATGGTAAGCGTTTCGTAGGTCCAATTAGTAAACACGGTGGCACCCTGTACCGGTTCAAAAGCTGATGTGAGAAGGGGAAGGGGATACTTATTTTTAACCGTGATCTGATTAAGACACTTATAATCAATACATGGTCTGAGAGAGCCGTCTTTCTTAGACACAAAAAAAAATCCCGCCCCCAGCGGAGACGTGGAGGGGCGAATAATGCCTGCAGCGCGGGACTCGTTAATATATTTTAGCATGCTCTCCCTCTCTGGCTTAGAAATGTTATAAAGTCGACTGGAGGGCAACGGAGCACCGGGAAGGAGATCAATAGCACAGTCATAGGGGCGGTGGGGGGGAAGTGACAGTGCTTTATTTTTCTGAAAAACCATTTTCAAATCATGATATTCAGGGGGAATCTTGGACAGGTCCAGAATGTCCTCCTCATCCTCCCGGGTGATGTCCAATTGTGGAGTCGTCTGGGCGGCCTGTAGACAGGTTGAGTGGCAGGTTCTGCTCCATGATTCCACTCTCCCCTCATTCCAATTAAGGTGAGGATTGTGCTGTCTCAGCCAAGGGAAACCCAGCACCAGAGGGGTCTGCGGAGAGGGAAACATAGAAGATCAAAATCTCACGATGATTTCCTGAAACCAGAAGTTCAATGGGTTTAGTCTGTTGTGAAATGACGGGCAAGACTCCTCCATCCAGGGCGGAAACTTGGACCGGAACGGGGAGAGAAATTGTAGGAATATTTAGTTTCTTTACCAAATTTTCATCGATCAGGTTCTGCTCACATCCAGAATCAATTAGAGCCGATACGTTAACTGACCTTTGGTTGATGAAAAGGGATGCAGAAAGAGAAAGTCGGGAGATCAAACTGGAACAGCCACCCACCAGGACTCCCGTTATCACTGGTGGGCTCCGCCTTTTAACCGAGCCGGGCATACGGCGACGAAGTGGCCAGTAAGACCGCAATAGAAGCAGGCACGAGCTTCTAGTCGTCGTTGTCGTTCTGGGGGAAATTCTGGTGCGGCCGATCTGCATGGGCTCCTCGGAACAAGGCGTGTTCGGGATGGTTTCCATAGCAACCTCTGGTGCGAGTTTGTCTGAAAAAGGCACAGGTTTAAATGCTCTCTTCTCTCGGGACCTTCCTCTAAGTCTATTATCGACCTTAATAGCCAAAGCTATCAGGTTCTCCAAACTGGCTGGTTCATCCCTGCATGCCAGTTCATCTTTGAGAGTCTCATTGAGAGCCTGCATGAAAGCCCCTTTGAGAGCTTCGTCATTCCAACCAGACGTGGCTGCTAGAGTGCGAAAATCAATGGCAAATTCAGCTACAGAACGGGACCCTGCTTCAGGTTCCAAAGCTGATGCGAGATTTCTGAACTGGACTCTGCATAACCAAAAGTTTGCTTTAGCTCGTTCAAGAAGGTAGCAAAAGGTGTTTGTGAAAGAATGAGAGGCTAAATTTAGCTTCTGCCCATCTCAGGGCTCTTCCCTTCAAAAGTCCGATCATGTAAGCTATCTTGGCGGGGTCATCCGGAAATGAGCCTGGAGCTCTGCAAAATACAATAGAACACTGCAGAATGAATCCTCCACACTTTCCAATCTCTCCCGAATAATGTTCTGGTGTCGGGGGTGAAATCTCACGAGCTCGG